ATATGAATTTGTGTGCAGGTTTTTGTATGGCATGGGTTTTCAACTAATTCTGGTAAGTACCAAGGAGTGAGATTTCTAGATTGTATGGTAAAAGTATGTTTAGTTTTGTAAGAAACTGCCAGACGGTCTTCCAAAGTGGCTAGACCATTTTACACGCCCACCCACAATGCATGAGGGTTCCAATTTCTCTGCATCCTCACCAACACCTGTGATTTTCTGTTTTGGGTTTTTTTATTTTTATAATGGCCATCCTAATGAGTGCGAAGTGGCCTCTCGTCGTTTTGATTTGCATTTCCCTAATGATTAGTGATGTTGAACATCATTTCATGCCCTTATTGGCCATTTTTTATATCTTCTTTGGAGAAATGTGTATTGAAGTCTTTTGCTATTTTTTAATTAAGCTGTTCGTTTTTGTTGTTGAGTTGTAGGGGTTCTTTATATATTCTAGGTATTAATCCCTTATCAGATACAGGATGTGCAAATATTTTGTCCCATCCTATGTGTCACCTTTTCACTCTGTTGATAGGGTCATTTGATGCACAATTGTTTTCAATTTTGATGAAGTCCAACTAAATCTATTTTTTCTTTTATTGCCTATCCTTTTGGTGTCATAAGCAAGAAATCATTGCCAAATCCAATGTCATGAAGCTTTAAAACCCTATGTTTTCCTCTAAGAGTTTTATAGTTTTAGCTCTTACTTTCAAGTCTTTGATCCAGTTTGAGTTAATTTTTCTAAATGGTGTGAGGTAGGGATCCAACTTCATTCTTTTGCATGTGGATAACCAGTTCTCCCACCACCATTTGTTGAAATGACTGTGCATTCTCCATTGAATGGCCTGGGCACCCCTGCAAAAATCATTTGACCGTATATGCGAGGGCTTATTTCTGGGTTCTCTATTCTGTTCCTTTGGTTTATATGTCTTTCTTTATGCCAACACCACAATGTTTTGATTACCGTAGCTCTATTGTAAGTTTTGAAATCACGAAGTATGAGACCTCCAACTTTGGTCTTTTTAAGATTATTTTGGTTATTCAGGGTCTCGTGAGAATCCATATGAACTGTAGTGTGGATTTTTCTTTTTCTGCCAATAAAAAACATCATTGAGATTTTGATAGAGATTGCATTGAATCTGTAGATCGCTTTGGGTAGTATTGACATCTTAACAATATTAAGCCATGAACAGAAATAAAACCTATTTATTTGTGTCTTTAATTTCTTTCAGCAACATTTTTTAGTTTTCAGTGTACAAGCCTTTCACCTTCTTGGTTAAATTTATTTCTAAGTATTTTACTCTTTTTGTTGCTATTGTAAATGGAATTGTTTTCTTAACTTCTTTTCAGGATTGTTCTTTGCTAGTGTACGAAATGCAACTGTTTTTTGTGTCTTGATTTTATATCCTGCAATGTTGCTGAATTCGCTTATTAGTTCCAACAGTTTTTTGTGTGTATGTGGACTCTTTAGGGTTTTCTACATATAAAACTTCTTTTCTATTTCTTCCTTTCCAACTTGGATGCCTTTTATTTCTTTTTCTTGCCTAATTACACTGTCTAGAACTTCCAATACTATGTTGAATAGAAGTGATGAAAGTGGGCATCCTTGTCTTGTTCCTCATCAAGGCTTTTTACTTTTGAACCACGGGAATGTTTCAACTCTTCATACTAAACGAAAATATACTTTTTCTCAAGTACCTTTCCACTTCTCACACTAAATGCAGCCTCTGAATTCTCAGGCATTGCATGGGCCCATTGTTTATAGACGATCCTGCCCTGTTCTCTCTCCTGGAGTCCTGGAGGACAAGGTCGTACCTTGGTCAGTTTTGAGTCTCCCCCGACCACCGACTCAGGGCTGTCTCTGTGTCCCCAATACAGGTTTGCTTTCGAGTCTGGTGTTCTGTCTGAAAGGAAGGACTGGCAGCCCAGGACAAAATTTGAGTTCCTAATCATCAAAATCCCAATGCAAGTGGAACTCAGGAAGGGTGCATCTCTGCTGTTGTTGCAGCCACGCCAACAAGAATTTCTTTCTTTTCATTTACTCATTTTACCTTTACTGCAGGCAGGCAGGGAAGGTACAAGCCATGGACTCTGCCCTCACGTGGCTTATGGGGGTTTTATGGAGATGATTGATGGGGACGGGGTCAAGGCAGGTCCCTAATGGAACCTACTGGAAGGCACCATGGCTCACGCAGTTATTCACTCTCTCTGCTGCCTGCTGGGCCACAGGCCAGACTGCAGCTGCCATGGCTCCCCCTCTGCCCAAAGGCCGGACTCCTTTGGCTGAAGACCTACTCTGGTCTGAGCCTTCTGGTGAACTAATGAGCCAAAACCCACGACAGGTGGGCTGTCTATTAGAATGAGGAAAACGCTTACCCTGGGTTGTCTCAGATGACTTTGCCAGCCCAGGATCTTCCAAATGAAGTGGCTTCCATGGAAGGATTATTTTTAAGTGCCTCTGAGGCAGAAGGTCTTCCTTGAGGGAAGAAAAAAAAAAAAAAATAGATGCAGTTGCAACACGAACACAGCCAAAAAAAAAAAGAAAAGCAAACTCCATATTTGGTGCTTATGTGCCTTGCACGGTTCTAATCGCTATATACAGACAGCCCTCATTTTATTGCTTTTCACAGATAATGCGTTTTTTACAAGACCCTCCACCAGCAGAAAGATTACTACTCGCTGAAGGCTCTGGTGATGTTTAGCATTTTTTAGCAATGAAGTATTTTTTAATTAAGGTATGTACATTATTTCTTTAGACATAATACTATTGCACACTTAGACTGCAGGATAGCGTAAACATAACTTCTGTATGCACCAAGAAACCACAAAATTTGTGTGACTCGCTTTATTGCGATATGCATTTTGTTGCTGTGGTCTGGAACGGAACCCACCACATCGCCGAGGGATGACTGTATATATATTAATTTACTTAATCCTCACGACAACCCTGTGAGCTAGTTACGGAAGAGGAAATGGAGGCTCCAAGAAGCAGACTAGAGAAATTACACAGCGTGACCCCCATCCTCAGAGCAACACGTGACCAGGTCCATTCGTGGCAGGGACAGAAGGGGCCTTGAGATTTCCAGAGGAAGGTTCAAGGCGGAGATGGGGAGAGGTGTCCTGGAGACCTTGCTTGGGCTCAGGACTTGGCACCCGAGGAATGTTCTTTCCAGGCCTTTTGTGGCCCTTTTCCAGGTCTGCCCTTACATCAGTGTGGAACTAGCTCTGGAAACATGCTAAACTAAGTTCCTTCCTGGAAGAAAACCTCTTCCCGTTAACCCTTTCGAGGCCCGTTGGGGAGAAAAGGCCTCCCACCACCAGATACAGAAAGTTGAGCTCACAACAGAAACCGAGCTTGCCAGGTCTTGTAATTTTTCTGAAGGGCAATCAAACCCAGTGCTCTTACAGACATAAAAAGAAAAAAAATGTGGCGTTCGGTATAAGGAATGGAATGCGATGGTGACACATTTGTAAATGTCGTAACAACTCGGAGAACTTGCCCATCCTTGTAAATTTCTCCAGGTGGTTGCTAACGATGTCCTCTGACCCTGACACTGAACCTGCCAAGTAAGGGAAGCAGGCTTATCTTCTCTGAAGGCTGATTGACTCGCCCTAGGTCTGTCCGATTTCCCAGCTGGGGCTCTGCACTGCCCAACTCTCTGCTTGTAAATTTCTGGATTGACCACCGGTTTTCTTTCTGAGGGTTCAATTGCCCCCTCTCTGCCTTCTCTCATAGGTTTCCCCAGCAGCCTGCTGAGAGGTTAGTACATCCAGCCAAGCTCGGTTTGTAAGACCCCAGAGAAATTCCTGGGGGAACCCTCCAAGTCTGCCAGACTTTTTGTGGGGTTCAGACAAGATCCCCACATGTGCTCTTTTGGCAAGGGGCCTCTGGCAAGCAACCTCATGAATCCCAAAACAGACTCTCTAGGGGCTGGCTTGGTGGTGTAGTGGTTAAGTTTGTGCGCTCTGCTGTGGCGGCCCGGGGTTCACAGGTTTTTCCCGGGAACAGACCTACACAGTGCTCATCAAGCCATGCTGTTGCGGCATCCCATATAAAATAGAGGAAGATGGGCACAGATGTTAGCTCAGGGCCAATCTTCCTCAGCAAAAAAAAAAAAAAAAAAACAGACTCTCTGATTCTTGAAAGCTGCTCTCCATCAGCCCTCTGTGGCTCAGGCAGTCAAGTTCAACTCTGAAAGCCCTCGTTTTCTTTGAATTTTACTTTGGGGAGAGGAAGCTGCCCTTCTGTTTATGTAACTCCTTCTCCTAAAAGAATACATCAATATTTACATCCAGACTCCAGGTATCAGGTCACTTAACTTTAAAAATATTTTGGCTCATATGTCAAGCCTGGATCCCAAGAAACAAAATCAGTTTTTGGCTGTACTTTTGAAGATTTTTCTTAAATGCCTCGTTGATTAGTTTATATGGCGATTTGGAAGAACCACCTAAAAACTATGTACAACTAAACTCAGTTAAAATCTATCTGCAATTCCTAGAAAGGAAAAAGCTGGTAGAGAAAGGAGAGGGAGACATTTTCCAAGATTTGTACTTTTTCCTTTCGAGGCAGAGGGGAGATGTCGTTAACCACTTAGGCCATTTGGAAGGACAGATGGTTATCAACAATCTTCTTTGGGTACCAAAGGGAAATGTGGCAATTAAAAGTTAAGACAAATGAAAGGGACATCTTTCAGGAGGCTCATCTCCAATTTGGGGGGGGCTCAGCTCTTCCGGGCTACCAAACCAATGACAAATCAAGCGGCCTGCCCTGGAGAGGCTTTGGAAAGGGCTGGAATGCGAGTCAGGGTTTCAGGGGTTAAGAAGCCCATGTAACATCAGCCGTTCGAAACTCCTCCTCTCCAAACTCCTCCTCCGGCAGTGAGGCGAAGATATTTGAAAATCACCCCACTGCAAACTCCTCCCCCGCGAGAAACCTCATATTGAAATGCCGCAAATGACTGGGGCCCCGCGTGCAGTCGCTGCCGGGCCGCGCGAAGCCCGGGTTTCCAGGGCCGACACAGCTGACAGGGGCCGGTGCCGGGGCGCTGCTGGCGGAGGCCGGGACCATGAGACTCGCGGGCTGGGGGCTGCGCTGGGCCATCGCCCTGCTGCTCGCCGCGGCGGGGGCTGCAGGTAAGGCTGGCTCCAGGCGCCCGCGCGGGGTGCGGATGAGCCTCGCGAACTCGGGGAGCCCCTTGGTAATTTTTTTGGGGGGTAGAGCGAAAAATAACTCCATCTTTGGGAGGCTTGTGGGAAAATGGCACGAAGTCCTTCGCCAACGGCGAAGCCGCGTGGGGGAGCGCGGAGGGGGGCGCGGGGGTTCGGGGGGATCTGGAGCAGTCAGGGGAATCGGGGTGTGGCTTCCCCCCCGGGTTTCTCCCTTGTCTTCCTCAGAGCGGGGTACCGGCATCTCCAGCTCTGGGGAAGGAGGGACCCCCGTCTAGAGCCATTCTAGGGGCGACGGTGACCCGAAGCCCGGCTGCTCAGCCTGGAGGTCCCTGCGGGCGCTCCCCCGCGCGCGTCCACGGGCAGGGGTCACCGCTGCGGCCAAGCGGGCTTTGTGCCGCTCAAGGGCGCCGCCGGCTCCCGGAGCCGGTCGCCGCGCATCCTGCCCTCGCCCCTCATGCGCGCTTCTGCCCAAAGCCCCCGCCCCAGCCCCGCCTCCAGCCCCGCCCCCAGCCCGCGGCCCCGCCCCCTGGCTCCTATTGGGCGCGGTTCGAACAGGCGAGCCTCGAGCCACTCCCCTTGGCCAATGGGAGGCGGCGACTGCGGAGGCGCGCGCGGCGTGGGCGGGGCTTGCGCACGAGTGGGGCGGGGCTGGCGCAGGGCTCGCTCCACACCTCGTTCTCGGTGAGGCGACGACGGCGATGCCTCGCGTCCGTCCCGGGCTCCTGCCACAACAGGGCGACACGTCCCGGGCCCCTGGTGTCGCCTCCGCGAGCGTGGATGAGGCGCCCGTCGGGCGCCCGGGTGCCCCCGGTTTCCTCCCGGATCTGTCACAAGGCCTTCGTCGCCATTTAGTCCTCGGGGCCGCCCTCGCCCTGCCCGCCCGGGTCAAGTTCACGGAGGTGTCCCCAGGCCACCCTCAGGGCCCCGGTTCCTTCCGAGGCGGAATGTTGCTTCGGAAACACTCGCCCCTCCTCGGTCGGACGCGAAGGGCACTTGGCGGAGACCTTCAGCTGGGGGGCGACAGCGACACCGGACAGACCCCTCAGGGTTGCGTTGTTTGTTCAGAGGCTCCCAGCGGGTCCTGAGGACTTTTCATTTTAGGGAGATTCAGATTGAGGTTCGGGCAAGAGGCGAGTTGGTGCGCGATCCTGAGTAATCCGGTGGCTGCAAGTGAGCTGCCAGAGGCATTTGACGTCGCCCTGGAAAATAGATAAATGGTCCTTTTCCTGCTCAGAGCCAGCCCAGCCGGGCATTGGCTGCTCAACAGAATGGCAGGAAGCCTTTTTCATTGGCAGGGAGGTGGCTTTGAATTCGGAATCCGACCCTGTGACACATCCGCTTCCGCTGGGAGGGGAGGAAGGGAGGTGGCAGCCCCACAGAGCAGATTATTCTAAGAATTCTGCCACCCAGGTGTGTGAAGCCGGAGGAGAGAGGCTTGCTCAAGAGACACTGGGTTAACCTGTATTTCACACTGTGGGACTCCTTCCCTAAGAGAAAATAATGGCAGCGAAGTCTTGAGCAAGATGAGTGGCTTACTTTAGTTTCCTCTCTCACTGGGTGGCTGAGGATCTGATGGATCTTCGGTTCTCAAGGAGGCTTTCAGTTTTGATGTGCTCCCCAGACCCCGGAGAGCTGGCAGCTACGTCTCTCCACTGGGGTGAAAACCCTGTTGTGTATTTGTCGCAGCCCTGGCTGCTCCGGCTTGCTCCTTAGCTGTCTTCAAAGCATTTGCGGGAAAAGGATTTCATGTCCGTTTCCTTTGGCAATAGAAGTAGCTGGGCGCTGAACTGTGTGCCTTCACTTAGCCAGATCAAAAGCAGTTAATGTTGTGCGTGGGGTATCGAGTGTGCCAAGGGCACACCCAAACTCAGAGAAAGGAGAGCCTGCTGCTAAGAGCTGTGTCTGCTTTGGCAACATGCCCCAGGGGATTCACTGGTCATTACAGAGTGTACTTTGTTCCAGGACAACATTGGCCAAAGACAGGGAGACCTTTTTTGAGACTGCAAATCTTCAAGGAGCATTACATGCCTTATTCTAGTTAGTTCTGCTCAGATCTGTGGGGTTCCTCCCCTGATAAGATCTAATTCTAGATGCCTTTGTTGTTCTTCACATTACGCATTAAGTACATTAATAGCATCCCCACTTTGCCTGGCTGTCAAGCAAGTGACCGTTTGTTGCTAAGACACTGTGGAAGTAACAGCCGTGAACAGTGACAGAAACAGGCTACCCCTCCCCAAAGGAGCTGGCAGCAAAATCTACCATTGAGACCACTCCTGGGGAAAATACCTTGACGTCACCTAGTTTGGAAAAAAGCGCTGGTAAATTGATTTCTCATCATTTTCAGCTGAGTCTGGTAACGCCAGCCGTTTCTTTTTGCAAGGAAACATTCCACCTACCATTCGATTTCCCTGTACAGCGAGTATCTTCAGTAGCATGGGAAAGAAAACATCGACAGCATTTACCACCTCATTTGTGTGCTGACGAAAAAGCAGAAATGTGTATTCTCCTTTTCTGTTTCGATAACCTTGTTTGTGATCTGTCACCCGTGACAAGAGAGATCTAAGGGCTACAGTTTAGAGGGTTTTTTTTGCGGGGGGGCATGCACTGCTTAGGTAATTTTAGGCATCCTCAGGATGAGGAGATATGGGAGCCCTGTTCCAGTTTGCTTTTGCTGAAATTCAAATGAAACTGACATGGCAAAGCCAAACCTTGCTTCTGCAATGGGGAGGAAATAACGATGTCCAGTTTCCTGGGGCTGTGGTGTTGAAACAGGGCTAGTTCTGTCCGCTTGCTCAGGACGGTGTTGCCTGCTGTGGGCACACTCGTCTGATGTGTTGTCACTCGGTGCTCCCTGTTCCTGATCCCCGTCCCCGCCAGCAACGCATGGAACTTATTTCCCAGCTCATTGCTGTCTGGCTGCGCCTGGAACAGTCAAATCCATCCACTTTTCAGGCAAATGTTGTCTGCAGCTGTTGGCCAGCTGTTGGATGACCCGTTCTGATAAAAATAGGTAGTGGTGAAGTCTTCCTTCCTTCCTCTTTCCTCACCTGTTGGTGAGGGCTTCAGCCACCTGTGGCTGGCAAATACTTGGAGCACTGTCACCAGGGGAAGGCTTGCGGTCCAGGAAAGGCATTATTGTTCTTTATCATTACCCCTCTTTAAAGGGCTTTAAGATATTATTAATATCTCCAGGGGCATATTTTGTTTTTAAGACGGGTCCTTGTGCAAAGGCTGGGAGACGAGAGCAGTGGATTTGCGATCGCCTGGCGGCAGCAAGGCAGGGAAGTGATAGGGACGACAGAAGCTCCTCCTCCAAGATCCTCACTGGGAATGCCCCTTGCCTGAACTTCCTTTTGAATGTTTTCTAAGAGTCCTCAAATTCCAGTTGCTTTTTGCCCACCTCGTGTGCCAGCGGCGAAGCGAAGTGAGTCATTTCCCTATCCTGGCACAGTTATGATTCAGCTGTGAGTCAGTGGGGTGTGGGGTGTGGGGTGTATCGAAGAGGCCCCCCTGGGGGAGACATCAGTTGGGATCAGTGGTTGAGCAATGCTGTTATCAGTATGTATGACCCCCGCAGAGTCCATTTGCTTCTCTCTCCCTCTCTCTCTCCTTGTCACCTGGGCTCCACTGTGGCGACCTGGAGCACAGCCTCCTAGTAATTCAGTTACCAAGTTCTGTTGATTCTCCCAAACCCCCCTTGTGTTTCTCCATCTTTATCAGCTCTATCCTCTTCCTGGCCTGCCTTATATCTCTCCTAATCTCACCCAGCTGGTTTCTTAACCTCTGGCAGGAGCGTTGGACTTGAACTTTGAAGCCCTAGAATTCCTTTTCCTTTGAAATTGAGGTGTAACTGACATGCTAGAAAATGGACAGCTATTAAGTGAACAACAGTTCGGTGAGTTTCGGTAAATGTCTCTGTCGATGTAACCACCTCCCATTAGGATATAGAATATTTCTAGCCTTCCAGAAAGTTCCCTTGTGCGCTTTTCTAGTTCACTCAAACCCTCACACACCAGAGGCAACCGATAATCTGATTTCGATCATTATAGATTGTTTTGCTGAACAAGAACTTCACGTAAATGTAATCATAGTCCGTACTCTTGAGCAAAAGAAGCCAGAAGCACACACATAATGTTCCAGCGATTCATCTGTGTCAGTGTGTTTATCGGCCATTTGCCCCTTTTTATTGCAGAGTCATGTTCCATGGAATGAACACATCACCTGCTCCTTTTTTGTTCTGTTCTTTAAGCCTCAACAACACTCTCCTGGGACTAGGTACTGCTCTTCTCCCCCATTTTCCAGATGAGGAAACTGAGGCCCAGAAGGATTAAGTCAGTTACCCAAGTCGTTCTAGTGAAACGGCCTGGAAAGTCATTTATACCCAAGTCTGTCTGTCTAACCACCTCGCTACACTGCCTCTCAGGGAATCTACACGAAAGTGCTGGGTGAATCCTCAAAGCAGAAATGGATGAAGGAGCACATTTTTCTTCCGTGGATCCGTTTACCAGACATATCACATCAGATTTCTCCCTCTGTCCCTGCATAGTTAAGAACTCAAATACATACATACATACATACGTAAGTAAATAAATAGCAAATAAAGAAATAGTTATTAAAAACTTTTACGAGGAAAAGCAACCCAAATGTTAGTTTCCTCGTGCCCCATAGACTCCAGGGCGGTGAAAGATGATCTTTTTCCCAGGTCTTCCAAAAACCCTAAAAATGCAGAACATTCCTTGACACCTGGAATCGGGTCGTGGAAAATCATAAACCATCTTACGTTTTCCTGGCATCCTCCGTCTTGGGTTAATGTAATACGCTCATCTAGATAGTAGGACAGTTTACCAAAGCAAGCCAGAGGAAGTAATCAAGTACAGCAAATGGTGTCCCATTCTCCCCGACGGTGGTTTCAAACTGGGCCCCAGAGGCCCTGACCCGCAGAGCCCTCAGCCCAGGTTGGAGATTGGGTTCGAGGCTGGGTGAAATGTTCAAGGGCGTCCAGAGGTCTCTGGCCTTGTCAACCCCGTTGGAATGACCGAAGGCAACAAAAGCCACTTGGGAGGTTATAGAATGGGAGTAATTAGGGCTACAGCCATAGATATGCACTGACTGTTATTTTAGTTCTTTCCCTTAATTATTTTTTCTTTACTTAAAAATTTCAAGAACAAAGCATTCTGAGAGGAAAACCGAGTAATCCTGAAGTGAATTAAAGAAGCCCCCTTCCCACTGTTTCCTATGCAGAAACACAGATAAGATTGTGTTTCTTAGAGAAATAGGATCACACCGCAGACTATTACAGTCACGTGTCGCCTAACGACGGGGACACGTTTTGATAAATATGTTGTCGGGTGATTTCGTCGTTGTGTGAACTTAGAGTGTGCTTACACAAACCTAGATGGTACAGCCTCCTACACATCTAGGTTGTATGGTCCTAGTCTTATGGTCCAAAATATTGTGGGTAGCTTTCCACATCACAACTTAGGATGTTGACTTCATCTTTTTCAATGGCTGTAGAGAATCCACATTATTATCATAGATAGATTTTTCGGGCCGGCCCCGTGGCTTGGCAGTTGAGTGCTCGCGCTCCGCTGCTGGCGGCCCGGGTTCGGATCCCGGGTGCACACCCACGCACTGCTTCTCCGGCCATGCTGAGGCCGCGTCCCACATACAGCAACTGGAAGGATGTGCAGCTATGACATACAACTATCTACTGGGGCTTTGAGGGAAAAATAAATAAAAAGTTATTAAAAAAAAACAATTTATAAAAAAAATAGATTTTGCGTATATAGCTATATATCTACATTTAGATATAGATACACACTTTTAAAGTCAGGTTGTGTATTAATTATCTATTGCTGCATATCAAATTACCCCAAAACTTAGTGGCTGAAAACAACACACATTTATTATCTCACAGTCTCTGTGAGTCAGGAATTTAGAAGCAGCCTAGCTAGATGGTTCTGGCACAGGGTCTCTCATGGAGCTGTAATCCGGGTGACTGCAGGAAAAAAAATATTTGCAGGGGCTGCAGTCATCTGAAGGCTTGACGGAGGCCGAAGACGCCATTCCAAGATGGCGCACTCGATGGCTTTTGGCAGAAGGCCTCAGGTCCCCACCTCATGGAGCTCTTCCTCAGGCTGCTTCAGAGTACCTCGTGACATGCTTCCCCCAGAGCAAGTGACCCAAGAGAGGGTACAATCCAAGACATCACTGAGGAGGCTGCAGTGCCTTCATGATCTAGGCTCAGAAGCCACACCTCATCACGTCTGCCTTTTTCTATTGATTACAAGCAAGTCACTAAGTCCAGAGAACATTCCAGGGGTGGTGAACTAGGCTCATCTTTTCAAGGGAGTGTCACAGAATTTGCAGTCATATTTTAAATTACCACCAGTGGTTCCCTCCCTTTCTCTATTATAAGGAAGACTTTGGGCCGCCTTGAACTTAACATCGTTGAACACATGTGTTAGTATTTTTTCTGAGTCCCAGGGACTTTGCACTTTAAATTTTGACAGCTTCTGCCCTGTTACCCTGCTAAAAGGTAGGTCAGGGAAGAGCTGCCCTATTCGGGAACCTTTGCCCAGCTAGGTGATGGACCCGCCCTGATTTTCACCTACCTAGTGAACAAAATTATTGTGACTGTGTCAGGCATTGGGCTGTGGCTGTGTCATGCTGAAAGGATGAAAAAGACGTTCCTTACCCACAAGAGTTTGAGTCTAGGCTGGGAGATACACAGGTAAACAGCGGATTTCAATGTAGTGTGATAGGAGTGAGAAATGAGTGTTTTAGGAGCTCATGGGGGTGCCAAACCCAGTTTTTTGGAAGGTCACCATCAAAGGGGTGGGAGTCGGGAGGGCATGTTGCAGGCAGAAGGAACTGCAAGGATTTGGGGTCTGAGGTTGTGAAACGTTTACGGGATCCAGCACAGGGGCAGGATGTGTGTCACACGTGGGGTTCATTGCAAAAGGGGCAGAAGAAGGCTACTTCCACAGTGTTGCAATTCACACAGCTTTGGGGTGGGGGACGGCTGGGGAAATCTGGCGACCTCAAGGGTACTTTCTTTTTCTTGCTCGTAGGGAAGCTTTCGATTTACAGAGAAAACAGAAGTCTGCAGATGTATGTGGATGAAAGGAAAAGGGATGGGCGGAGAGAGTGCCGGCCATACATTCATGCTCTTGGAATGAAAGTTTCTAGCCATGTCCTTTCTGCTCCCTTCCGGCTGCGGGCCACCTTCACCTCTCTGCCGTCATATGTCTTGGCGTTAACTTAGATAGCGACCACAGTTCTTCCATTTGGGCCAAGAATGGGGTGAGCTGGAGACTCATAACTCTTCATTCTTTTTTTTTTTTTTTTTTTTCTGGTGAGGAAGATTGGCCCTGAGCTAACATCTGGGCCAATCTTCCTCTATTTTGTATGTGGGACGCTGCCACAGCATGGCTTGATGAGTGGTGTGTAGGTCTGCACCCGGGGTTTGAACCCATGAACCCAGGGCACCGAAGCAGAGCGGGCCAGACTTAACCACCACGCCACAGAGCCGGCCCCTCTTCCTTCATCATTTTAAGGTCTTGCTTTCACATGGCTTCAAGCCCTAAAATCTGCCCCCCACTGCCAGAGATTCCACAAATCTTTATTCCCCTTCATTGTTCCTTTTAAAGAACTGAAGTCTTCTAATGTATGTAATCTTTCACCTCAAGGACTTTAAAAAAAATAACATTTTTATTTGGGAATGATATTAGATTTACAGAAAAGTTGCAAAGCTATTACAGCGAATTCTTGTCTACTCTCGTCCAGTTTCCTGCAACGTTAATATCTTACGTACCATGGTACATTTGTTAGAACTAAGAGATTAGCATTGACATATTACTATGAACTCTGGACTTTATTTGGATTTCATCAATCTTTCTTCTAATGGTTCTTTCTTTTTCCAGGATCCAATCCAATATTTCACGCTGCATTTTGCCCTAAAGTCTTTGATCATAATTTTAACCAGTTGGTTTCCAAACTCCTAATCCCACACCCGCAGAGATGAAAAGATTTTTATTACCACATGTCACCAACTGATAAAAGTTTGCTTCGATTCCAGTTTACACATAACGATGCATTCTAAACCAAAGCATGTTATCTAAAGCTAAGTGCAGTGAATATTATTTTGATCTCTTTTCCAACGCACAAAAATCATGTGTTTTGGGAAATTTCTCGAACGCCTACTTTGTCTTCAATTTTATCTAAAAATCCAAGTCTTTGTTTTCCTAGAAAAAGTTTTTCTTATTACATCTTTTGCTGCTATTTCTGTCCATTTCTTTTGATTTGACCTTCAGGTATATGATTATCTTTGCTGCTGGGTTTCTGCTCTCTGGCCTCCATATTAATAATTTCTCATAATTTTTATCTCTTTGTATTTCCTCTCTATCTGGTGGAGGAAGCTCCTCAAGTTTCCTTTCAGCATAATGGTTTTACAGTGTCAGTTTTCCTCATTACCATTTCCAATACAGGCTTGTAATATGCTAAATAATTTTCGTTATTCATGTGCACGGAAGTTCTAGTATTTTGTTCCCATAACCCACTCTTACACATTGTTGACAAGTCTCTCTCTTGGATACATTCTTTGCATCCTCCGCTGTGCTTTTGTTTCATGAAATTTAATTTATTGTGTGTGTTTCATTTCCTGGGAACCGAACGGTTACGATAGGATTCTATTTCTGGTGCGTTCTTCAGTTGGCAGGAAATAGACACAGATGATATGATCCATTTCTGATTCTAGCCCTTCCTTCCTCTTTCCTTCTCTCTCAGTGGAAGACAAATGTGGGAGAAAGGAGTTCCAGTGCCGAGACGGGAAATGCATCTCCTACAAGTGGGTTTGCGACGGGAGCGCTGAGTGCCAGGATGGCTCTGATGAGTCCCCGGAGACATGCAGTGAGTGCCCTTTGGACGTGACATGCGTCCCCTTTTTTGATGATAGTAGGTGCCAGACAAGGTGGAAATCAACCATCGGATTGATGTGTTCAGACATGAATTGGGAGATGGGGAGAGAAGATATTACTGAAACTTTCCTTTAATGGCTCTTTTTTTTTGTTTGCTGGGAAAAATTCACCCTGAGCCAACATCTGTTGCCAATCTTCCTCTCTCTTTTTTTTTTTCATCCCCAAAGCCCCAGTGCATAGTTGTATATTCTAGATTTAAGTCCTTCTAGTCCTTCTATGTGAGCCGCCGCCACAGCATGGCTACTGACAGACCAGTGGTGTGGTTCCGCGACCAGAAATTGAACCCAGTCGGCTGATGCGGGGCGCAACGAACTTTAACCCCGTAGGCCATCAGGGCTGGTGCTCTTTTTTTTTTTTTTT